AGCCACATGCGGCTCTTTGGCCCCTTGAGTGTGGCTCTTCCTAAGCCTTAGGAGTACCCTAATTAAGTTAATAACAATGTACCTACCTATAGAGTTTAAGTTTAAAAAATTTGGCTCCCAAAAGAAATTTCAATCGTTGTGCTGTTGATATTTGGCTCTGTTGACTAATGAGTTCGCCGACCACTGGCCTAGACCAAATGCCACCTCCTCCTAGGAGCCCTCCAAGATTCCCCCCTGTCAGACACAGGAGCTCAGAATGGTGTCTGAGGGAGCCCGGCGGCTGTTCTAACTTAGTGCTATTCAAAGAGTCGGAGAGCTTCTGCCAGAACAAATCACACACTTCTTCCTTCATAGGAAAGTCTTGCTAAAAAAAAAAAAAAAAAAAAATCTTAGTTGAACCAAAGTACTTGGTGACACAGCTGATTTTCATTCTGGCGTGAGCATCTTATCTCCCTGTGGCTGTAACTGGCCCCTCATGGTCCAGCTGACTACACTTTGAGTAGCACTAATTGGATCGAGCTGTCAGGGAGGTGGGTCCATTGGTCCTCAGACAGGGGTGGGGGGCAGGCCAGGCGTGTGCTGCTGTGGTGAGGAACCGAGGGGTGTGCAGCCCCGGGTGGTGCTCAGACTCCGTGATGGGGCCGTGGTACCCGGCTGGACACCACCCCTCTTCCTGCAGGTACAGCGAGGAGCGGGGCTGGGAGCTGCTCTGGCTGTGCACGGGCCTCTTCCCCCCCAGCAACATCCTCCTGCCCCACGTGCAGCGCTTCCTGCAGTCCCGGAAGCACTGCCCCCTCGCCATCGACTGCCTGCAGCGGCTCCAGAAAGCCTTGAGGTACAGCAGCCCCAGGGGCAGAGGCAATGGCACGGAGCGGGGGGGCAGGCATTGGGATGGGCTCCCGGCCACACCAGGTTTGTAGGACGAGCCCCCTTGGGGTGAGGAAATGACCACCAGCAATTGGGACCATCCCTGGGGTACCACAGCGGTCAGCTCGACAAAGGTTGCAGCACCCAGTGCCCGTTCGGACCCGGTTGAGTCTGGTTGCTCAGAAGGGCTTGGCTCATGCCTTCAAGTCTGTCAGGGAGGCAGACGCCTGACCGCACTTCATACCCTGAAAAGCCCACCTGCACCCTTCCCTTCATTCGGTCCCTCCATAGCCCTATGGGGTGGGCACTGCTAGCCCATTGTACAGATGGGCAACTGGAGGCTCTGAGAGGTTAAGTGACTGTCACCTGGTAAGACGGGATGGACGGGGATTGAAGTGCGTGTTCCGTCTCCAAAAGTTCCCTCGGTTCCTCGCGTCATGCGCCAGCTGGCCCCTGACTATGTCCCCTCCACCCCCGGCTTTTAGAAATGGGTCCCGGAAGTACCCCCCACACCTGGTGGAGGTGGAGGCCATCCAGCACAAAACCACCCAGATATTCCACAAGGTCTACTTTCCCGACGACACCGACGAGGTGAGGGCCACTGGCTGCTTGGTTCATGGACGACCCGAAACACCTTCATGAATGCCCTCGGGGGCACAGGGAGCAGCCCGAGTCCTCCCCTCCGCCATCCCCACGTTTGCCCCTTCCTCCTGCCCCTCGTGGAGTCAGAGTTCAGTCATGTGGGCACCGACCCCTG